TGTACCTGTTACATCCTGAAAGAAACGTTTTGTTTGTTTGTCGATAAATTTTGGTGGGTATTTATTCAGCAAGAGCATGATCCTAATCTTATCAAGTTCTACTTGTAAATCTTCTGGATGGGAGCATACGCGTGCGGCTCTTAGTGCCGCTGCATATTGGATGTTTCTAGTCACATGTCAAGGATGCGAAAAGCGAAATGGTAGCACATATGGTTGTGCTGTTAGTTTTCTGAATACCGTTGTTTTAAAATTCGGGATTTCTATCTTGACCGTTACGTCTAAGTAATCAACTGTCGTTCCTCCTTCACATGTTATTTTTAGATTACAATCTTTTTCATTTAATGCTGATAATTGTCTTTCTATCTGTTGTTTTAATAGTACTGTAGTAATGAATACTTCGTCCCTAAGTCTAAAATATAATTGTCTTTGTTGATTTTGTTGTCTGACAAAATCACCCTCCCATTTTCCAACATATATGTCGGCAAGCACGTGAGTGCAGGCCGAGCCCATGGCCCTCCTCTTATTTGTTGGTAGAATTTAGGTTTCATTCCTGGTAGCTGCAATGTGAAATATGCATTCTCCAGTACGTGTAGGAACATACTTTTTATCGTGTTAATCGATATACCGTGAACTTTTTTATGTCCATTTCTTCCGCGAAACTCACATACTGATAGTACTGCTTCCTTTTGAGGAGTCATGGTGTATAAATCTGTGATTTCGAATGTGTAAATACTAGTTTCTGTTGTTGTTTTAAATTCCTTTACATATTTTAAAAATTCCATCGAGTTAGAGAGTGTATAGTCAGTGTGTTTGTCGAAGAGTGGACGTATGATTCTATCTAAGTAACTGGATAGTTTGGCCAACGGGGATTTCATTCCACTTACTATTGGCCTTAGCGGCTCCCCTATCTTATGGTCTTTAGGGTTATAATACAAATGTGGTAGTTCTGATTCAGTTTGAGATGGTCGTAGGGTGTGGGTGTAACTAATACCAATCACACCCACACCCACACCCACACCCACACCCTCTTCGTTGTTTATACTGACTCCTATGAAAATTAAAACAGCATACATAGGTCACAAATTCTCAATTTTTTGGAATCATTCAAAAATGGTATTATATAATACGTGACGTGACCGTAACCAAAAATCATGATTATACAGTTCTCTACTAACAATCGAATACTAATTACTTTCAAAAGTAAGAAGCTACGATATGTACACTTGTGCATCTTCAGGTAAGAATATTTCTTTGTTCATCTGGAAGGAATTCTGAAAGTGTGTGTAATGCTGAGTCAGCGTTAACGGCCATAGTCCTTTCACCTTGAGAAGTTAATAAGAAATGCAACCGACTCAGTCTAATATTTATTAACAATTCAGTATACTCTACTCTATTGGTTGAGGGTGTGGGTGGGTGTGGTTAAGGAAAAGATTCACACCCACACCCATACTCTAATTTTCTAGAGTTAATATCAGATATGTTCAAATGAACGTAAGATGTTTAGAACTTATCTCGGTTATTTATTTTAAAAAATAATACAAAATATTGATAAAGAAAGATTTAAATTAAAATGAACATGTTCAAAAATATAATATGATAATTATGAAAATAAATAATGACAATGTCACTTATTTATTTTTAAAGATTTTAGTTGCTACTTGGCTAACGATTTCACCGGGTATTGTCCAAATAGCAAGTAAAAGAAAAATAACACCAATAAAAATAAGGACTCCAAGAATAATTGCCCATTTGAAATTACGCCATACAACATAACGTAATGTTTTCCATGGTGATGTAAACCAAAGAAATGATGTTGTTGGACGACTAGAATAATTAGAATTTATTTTATAACATCAAATATTAAAACAAACCTCGGTTTTTCAAGTGGTTGTGGTGGTTCACGTGCTTTTCCAACTGGATTTTTTTCTGCTTCTTCAGCAGTAACAAGTGAAAATTCAGCTTCAAATTTTCCCTTTTAAAATAAAAAAGTAAGATCTTGATTTTCTTTTCTTGTTTATTTAGTATTGACTCACTCCTAATAAAGTTTTATCACGAATTTCACCCTCTTTCAATGGAGCAATCATTGGCCACCAACCTAAGTATTCAAAATAGAATGGAAGAAAATTCAATCTGAAAAAAAATAATAATAAATCAAATCTTCATACCAGCAATACGTTTATTAGCAAATAAATTAATTGCTCTATGTTTTGGATTAAGTAGAATATCAGCTTTACATTTGTTTGGTACTTTAGTACCGAGTGGTACATGTGTTAGATTAAGAACACATTCACCTAGAAGAATTATAATTTATTCAATGATAAATAAAGAATAAACAAACCAAGAAAATCATCAGCTGAAAAAAAATCTGCATCATAAACACGAATAATAATTTTTGGTGGAATCTTTTTTGTTGTATTGCCAACTTGAAATACGGAATCTTTTGCTTGAAAAACAATTTTTTCTTCGATATCTAAATAGTCAAAATCGAATAGGAATCGCCAATTAAAATTTCCGTCGCCTGTTAATGATCTATTATCAAAAAGGATATATTTATATATTTATTTCGTTAATTCTAATGAATAAAACGAACCGATAATGGATATCTGTTTGTTGTGCATCAACTCTTTCTCCTAAGATCCATGCTGTAACATAAATATCTGAAGTTTTCTCTCCCGTAAGGAAATTTTCATCATTTAATTCTATATCAGTTGTATTCCAGATAATTATACGTAATTGATAAGAAGTAGGTTTAGGTGGTGTTATATCAACCATAGCATTTGAAGGTGGTCGTGACATTGGAAAAAAATCTAACCACATTTCTAATTTTCCTTGTTCAATTCCAGGAAACTCTGGATTAAAAAGTGATCGACATTCAATATGTTCAGTAACCAAAGCACATTTCTACATAAAGGTGAATAATAAAAAAAATCGAAAGATACTTTTTTTTTTGTTTACCTGATCGATTTTTCTTCCCCATGTATGTAGAGCAGCTAATGCTGTATTTTGTCGTATATATTCGTCGGTTGATTCATGATAAGCTTTTCGATACAATATATCTACGGATGATTTTGTATCCATGACAAATTCAACACATTCAGGATCACATTCGAAAATTTTATCGCCGACTGTTACTGAACGAAAATCTGCCATATAAACGGGTACATTAATATGTGTTGTTCGACATAATTCAGTTAAAATTATCGTTGGTTTTTTTGTATCACGCCAAGTATTATAACCCGCACTAAATATAAGAAATATTGAATGCTTAATATATTATTTTAGATTGTTTAATAGACCTGTCATATCTTTTTGGTAAACCACAAGTTGCTCTATGAAATGAAAACCAACGATTTTCAATATCAATTTTTGTTTCACCAATCATATCATTGAAACTTGTCATATCCCAATCCCATAGTTGTATACGAATTAAAGATTGAAAAGGTAATTGAACATCAAATTCATATGATCTATTTAAATAAAAAATAAAAATAA